TCTCTCTGTGTGTGTGTGTGTGTGTGTGTGTGTGTATGCGTGTGTGTGTATGTGTGTGTGTGTGTGTGTGTGCATGTGTGTGTGAGTGTATGAGGCTGTGTATGAATTATGTGTGTAGGTAGAATTATAATTAAAGTTATTTATATATACAGAAAAGAATATTGGTGGGGATAAGGCTATTTAGAAATGTTGGGTGTGGGCATATGCAACAATGAGTCTCTCTGGGAATGAAAGCATGAGCAGTATTTAAGAATGTAGGGGAAGTGGCATGCAGACCTTGGAAGATGAGAGCTACATAAAGAATACATAAGGGTATGAGGAAGATGAGTGTGTAGGGGTATTGAGCAAGGCTAGGGGTGTGCTGGGAGGAGGAGAGATGTGTAGAGATGGGGAAGGGCCTGTAGGGATGAGGATGGGCCGGGGGTACACAGTGGCATATACTGGAAGAATACAAGTCTGTGTGTATGTGTGCTTGTGTGGGGTGTGCACCTCATCCTCAGACTTCTAAAGAAGAGCAAGAGAGAGAAGGATGCTAATGATTTGTTGAGTGAACAGTCTTGTATTTTTCCCAAGATCCTTCTAGCCCTCAGTGGGATACCAGCCCCAAACCAGCCTGTCCAACACACCCCACCTGCAGATTTTGGAAAAGGAGGGACATGGGCAGAGGGCACATGGGGCAGAGAGAAACCTACCTCTCACACTGTGCTCCTGTGTATCCAGGTTTGCAGGCACACCTCACAATTCCTCCATCCACAGTACAGCCAGTGGCAAAACTTAAAGGAAGACAGGAAAAAGGCCTCGGTGAAAACAGAACCCCATGGGCTCATTGCTTCCTATCACAAAGTCCAGCTTCCACAAAGCAAAAAATGGAAACCCATTGTGAGGAAGATTTTGAGTGAAGAAAGTTGTGTGGGGAGAAAGTTTGGCTTCAGCTGACGCTGGACAAGGGGGTGAATGCAGACATGCATTTTCTTTCTGGATTAGATAAATGCATTCCTCCCCTGGAGACAGACACAGTAATTCAATCTGGAAGAGATGATTACAACATTTCCCCAGGAATAACAAGGAAGGGCTGCAAGTCCAGGCAGGAAAGAGAATAACAAGTCCTGATTCTCTTAAAAATCTTGTCTCCTTGTTTATTTCAGTTTCTTCTATCCAGAGCCCACTCCTGGCAGACAGGCCAGGACTTAGAAGCCCTAGAGAGAAGTATAAAGTCTCCCCCACCCCTCAGGCATTTCTGTGTACCCTTGCTGGTAACTTTACATTGTTTTCTAATCGAGTCCTGAAATTTCAATTCCTTTTCTTTTAGCTCTAAACTGACATATATTTGAGAATTTTTTTTCCTCCCTAACAAAGAAGCCATGTGTACTGGCAAAGTGTTCATATTTGTGGAGCCTTACTCTGACAACACACCAGAGGGGATCGTCTCACAGGAGAGGTTATGCTCTGGAAGCCTCCCTTGTTGGGTGAGATGGATGTAGGACTTCCCTCCTAAGGGACCAGATGCAGTTTCCCAGTGGTGTTTATACTGACGGAGGAAGCTGTAATGATAGACCTGAAGGTCTATGTGCATCCCAGCCCCATGCTGCTGGGAGCTGGATTTGCTGATAGCTATATGCTTTAACCCCAAATGAAAACCTCTCCAGTGCCCTGATGGAAATCTTGTTGTTTTATTCTTCTGCCAGCCTCTGTCTGTGCAAGTCTGGGCAGGCATGGAGTGATAGATCACTGCACAAACAGCGCTGCAGGACAGGGCGGGCTGAATGGGAATCCAGCACATTGGTAGGAAAGCAAGCAAGGCAGTGTAGATGGACGGGCAGGACAGAAGCTTCCATCAACAAGGCAGGCATTTCAGACAGGGGGATCTCCAGAGAAGCAGCCCTCGGGCTTGTGACTGAGAGAGATGGAAGATGTGGTCAGTTCATCTGACTCCGGGTTACTATCATTGATTGGCTTTGCATTCTGCTCTTATTTCTGAGCCTGTGTTGCATAGGTACATTTTCTTGATTTTCAAGCCCATTACTACTTTATTTAGTGAGCTGTTATGTCACTCATTCCTCAGAGTCCATGGTGAACATGTCACAAGGAACAGATTATAACAATGTCCCAGGCTCAAAGAACCCGAGAAGAAATGGTGACTGTTCTACCTGCCATCTATCAGTCATGCTGGGCCTGAATGACAGCTATGATTGTATGACTTAAGGGCTCAGAACTCCTCCAAGACCTCCATCTCAAAGAGTAAACCCAGACACCTGGCTACAGTCTTCAAGGTCAAGTGTCATACAGTCTGAGTCCTGGTTGGACCCTTCAGCTGCATCTCCAGCCCTCTTGGCTCTGACAGAAAACCTGAAGAATCACTCTTGCTTCATTTGCTTTTGTTTCCTCAAAAAAAAAAAAAAAATCCACTGGGCATGGTGCTGCATGCCTTTAAACCCAAAACTTGGGAGGCAGAGGCAGGTGGATATCTGTGAATTTGAGGTTAGCCCTATCTACAGAGCAAGTTCCAGAACAGCTAGAGTTGTTACACAGAGAAACCATGTCTTGAACCCACCCCCACAAAAAATTACTATGGTGGAGCCCATGCAGGCGAGTGGCATTATGAGATTCCTGTGAGCTTGGCTGTAGGTAACATCCCTGACTCGTGGGCCTTAATGATTATCCAGCAAATTATCCAGCTTGAAAGCTGCTTTTATTGGGCATGTGCCAGGGTCCAGTGGGTGACATCGATGACATAAAGGAAAAGAAAAACCCAGCCTTCAGATCAGGCCAAAGCAGTCACTTCCTAAATGTGCATCTTAGGAAGTTCAACCACCCACATAGATGACCGGTAAACGCTTCCTCATCGCATTTTGCCTTGCCGAATGCCTGAGGGAACCCCTCTTCCTTACTCTATGAATGGTCCTGAACCCTGAACTCTGGGAGGTGGGTCTGAGGCTTGTTCCACACCCTGTCTCTGTGCTGCCTCAAGAATAAACCCTTCCTTTCTCTTTCACAAAACTTCATCCCAGTGACTGGAAGGTTGTGCATCCAAATAAGGAGGCCCCTGGGGCCCAACCATTAAAGGCTAGGGCTCACAACCAAAATTATACATCAGTCTTAGTGAAGTATTACTGTCATACCATACAATTTACCCACAAACAGTATAAATTCAACGACTCAGTGTAGTCTAGGACTTGTACAACTGCCACCGTGGTCAGGTGTAGAACACTGTCATCACTTCAAGAAAAACAGCCCCTTAGCAGTTACTTCTCTTTCACCTGCTGTCTCCTCAGCCACTCTCAGTTCTATGTGACTGCCAGACTACAAACTGTCACCTGTGTGCGTCTACTGTACCTGTTGGTATGAGGGCAGGGACACACCCTACAGGATCCATGGATGGCGTTTCCATAGTGGCCTTCCTTGCAGTGCTCACAGTGTTCCCCAGCTGTGTTGTGCTGACAGTTCTGGGGACAGATGAACGGGACAATGAGTCAGCTGTCTGCTACATGGATCACTTTAATGGCCGTTATCAGTGTGTGCATCTTTTCCAGGGCTAGTGATTAAACCTGGAGCTTCACGTATCTCAGTGAGCTCCACAGAACTGAATTACATCTCTAGCCTAACCTCACTACCATAACTTAAGTCCTCTGGCTGCATCACACACACACACACACACACACACACACACACACACACACAATCTAATTGCTGTTGGTACCACACAAAAATACTGCAAGGCTGGAATGATCGCTCAGGCAGTGTAAATTACTTGCCTTGCATGCACAAGGACCCTAGTTTGCTCCCTAAAAGCCATGTTTTAAAAGCTGGCTGTGGTGACACAAACCTGTAGTCCCAGGATTGGAGGGGTGGGATGGGTAGATCTCTGCCGTTACTAACTCACTCACTTGGCAAACTCCAGGCCAGTGAGAGACCCTGCCTCAAAAACAAACAAACAAAAGAAATGGAGGATACTTAGGAAGGACACTAGTGTTTTCCTCCAGCTACAAACACACACACATGCCCTCCACCATACCATCACACCACACCACCACACCACCACACCACACCACACCACCACACCACCAACCCCCCACCCTCCCCCCCCCCCCCCACCCCCACACCCCCCCCCCCCACCACACCACCACACCACACCACCACACCACATCACCACACCACACTACCACACCACACCACCACACCACACCACACCACCACCACAGTACAAAAGTCCTTTCATTAGCTACAGAAGAGAAAGACCATCTAGGTTCCTATGCCACAGTATCATTTTATAGCTGTGGCATCTTGGGCAAGTTCCTTTATTCATCTAAGTTTTATTCTTTCTTATATCAATTTTATTGACATATGACTATGCATAACCACAGTTTTCCTAAAATGTGCCATTAGAAGAGTGCCGCTTTGCAATGTTGTTAAGAGCATTTTAGAAAGCAAAGGGTAGGCTGGATGTGGTGGTGCATGACTTTACCCAGGTACATGGGAAGAGGGCAAGCAGACTTCTGAGAGTCCCCAGCCAGCCAGGGCTACATAATGAGACCCTGTCTCAACCAAACAAGCAAGCAAGCACAAAACTGGCTCCTTGGGAAGTGTGGCTTCTCCCTCTTCCTCCTGTTAGAAAGGTCTGGAGGCTAGCCTCATTCGCTTCATAACTCACGGTGGTATACTGAAGGGCAATACATTTTAAATAGGTTTCAATATGTGGAATTTGTGAAAAGAACAGAAAGTTACATATTAGAAGTCCCTTATATCTCAAGTTCCAGAGAATTAAGAAATTGTTTGAATTCAGGCAGTTAGCAGTGGTGGCACATGCCTTTAATCCCAGCACTCAGGAGGCAGAGGCAGAGGCAAGCAGATCTCTATGAGTTCAAGGCCAGCCTGGTCTATAGAGCAAGTTCCAGGTCAGCCAAGGATACACAGAGAAACCATATCTCAAAACTGTGTCTAAGTATTTTATTTGTGTAAATCTAATTATCTTCATGTCAAAGTCAATGTCTAATGGAAG